GTCGTGTTTAGCCCTAGCTCTGCCGACATCTCTGATCCTGTTAAACCTCGACTCTCTTGAGTCATATCTTAAGCAGTGTGTTCTGCAGAAAGTTTCTTCCAGTTAAGGCAGATATCTAAGCTTAAGTCTGTGTTGACCAGATCTGACCTTGAAAAAATAGTCCATGCCTTCATTACAACCTGACTAGACGACGGTAATCCACTTTAGGTTGGGGTCAGTCAGGTCTCCCTTTCACATCTTGGCTTTTAACAGGAACTCTTAGGTTTCACCGTTTTGTCCTCCTTCACTGGCTCCCCATATGTACCAGAATTGATTTAAAAATTCTCCTGTTGACATTTAAGTGCACTAACGACCTTGCACCCTCATACCTCTCTGGCCTACTTCAACCATATGTTCCTTCTCGGGCATGAGATCATCTGATCAGCTGCTTTTAATTGTACCAAACAGCAGGTTGAGGCTCAGAGGAGATCGAGCTTTTTCAGTCATGGGCCCTAAACTTTGGAACCATCTGCCCCTCACCATCAGACGGACCACTTCACTTTCAGTTTTTAAATCCGTTTTAAACATGTGTTTTCTCTGGTTTTTAACACAGTGTGATTTGATTTAGTATTTTATTGTTTTGTGTTTTTCTTTTTCTTTTGATGCTTTTAATTAATTTTCGGTTTTATTGTTGTTCCATTAATTTACTCTCATTGATTTTTATTGTTAAGCACTTTGGTAACAGCTTCTGTTTTAAATGTACTTGATAATTAACATCTAACCCCACATGAACAGATCCTGGACTAGTCTGACCCCTAACTCTCCAGTACGACACCATTAGTCCAGACTAGTACTGATCAGAAATGAGTTAGTGAGAACTTACCGGTCTTGCTCAGGCGGGCAGGCTCTGCTGGAGCCATTCGAGCAGCTTTGGCAACGGACTGAGGAGGAGCTGGTGTGGACTCGTCGGGCAGAACCGAACCTGAGCACACAGACATTGATCAGCTCTCGTCAGGAACATCAGCAGCTCGGGGTGTCGGACCATTTATCACTTCAAACACACATTTTCACGGCCACAGTTCAAACAAAACTTTATGAGGTGCGATGGGTGACGATAAATAAATACTTCAATCTTCTATCAGGAGCAGTGGCAGTGGTAAAACCCAGTCCAAAGGTATAGCAAAAAAAAATAATAATAATAATAATACACGTCAGAGGTCCCCAAACCAAACCCTCATCGACTTCTATTGTATCTGAGCTGGTTCTGGCCTGGCTCAGTGAGTTTGTTCCTGTTGGGTTTTAGAGAAGAACATTTCAAACTGGAGCTTCTACAAGAAACATTGGAGCTGCAGTTAAAATCATCTGAAGGTTGAGTGTGAAGAACACAGAACCTGAAGCTTGAACTGGTTTTAGGTTCCTGGAAGAGATCAGATCCAGAAGATTAAAACCAGCCGACCCGTCTCTGACCGTGACACCTGAAACCAGCAGGGAGGTTCTGTTTGAGCAGCGCCGCTCCCAGATCACAATCAGTCCGACCCAACAACAACAGGTTCAGGGAGCGGTCCAAACAAAGGTGGCTTTAGTTCTGATCCACAGAGAAAACACAGCAACACGCTAAAAACACGGCAGTTCTCAGCCCTTCCAGTCTTCATCTCTGATCCAATTTTAGTCTTCGTCAGACGTTTATGGGAACGTTCACACGATGACGGAAACAGAGTTCTGATCAGTTTTCAGGATCTGGAATGAAATCAGCTGTGACCCAACTTGACCTCTAACCTTTTCTGGATACAAGACTTCAGCATATGACCGTTTCTTCTTCCTCCTCTTCCTTCTCATCATCCTCAGCCTCATCATCATCATCATCAACATCCCATAATGGTGGGCAGTCTTCACACTTTATTTGGACCAGAACCTCAAGAGTTTAAAGTGAGAGACAGTGACACTGAAACAGAACCAACGAGTCCGTTTATCTCTACAGATGTTGGTAAAGTTCTACAATCATCAGTTCTTCCTTCAGTCCAACCAGAACCATTCTGGGTCCCTCTGATCCCCCCCGAGTCAGAACGTCATCCACTCTGATCGAACCTTCGCTGACGTCAGCTTGGAGACGTCAGTGAGGTTCTCCATCAGTTGGTACCATTACAGTGTTTCCCTACCATTATATAAGCAAGGCGCCCCGCCCTGTCAACAGAACCAAGCGCCACCGACCCCCCCGGTGTGCAATACAGACACGATAGCTAAAAAGCTACAGAGGCACAGCTTCCTCTTATGCTGAGCCGCCTCCACCCCAGCTCGAAAACAGTCGGTACAAACAGCAGACGTGTCTCCGTCTCCACCCCATCCCCCTTGAAAAAAAATCATAAAAGATCAGAGCACCCTGCCAAGGCAAGTAAACTAGGGGAAACACTGCGTTAAGACTCCGCCCCCGACTCACCTGTAACGCCACTGCAGGTGGCCTCACATTCCTCCTGAGACTCGAAGTTGTTGGCGTTGGCGTCGCAGCCGCCGTACAGGAACCTGCTGCAGCTCTGACTCGTCACGTTGTAGAAGAACCTTGGGAACGCCGCCCGACACATCCCAACCTTCATTGGGAGACGGCACAGAACTGTGGAGAGACAACAAAGAGAGTCAACCAGAGACCGGATCCACCAGAGACCGGGCCCACCAGTAGCTGGTCAAGACTCAGATCTTTGGACATACTTGCGTGTATACCTGTGCATGAACTTTTTGTGTACATTTGTGTATGTACCAGTTTATTCATTTGTGTGTGTACCTGGTTATGTATTAGTGTGTATATTTGTATGTACCAATCCATCCATCCTCTTTACCCACTTCTTCCTTTTTGGGTCACGGGGGTCACTGGTGCCCATGTTCAGCTATCACTTGTGTGAGAGGCGGGGGACACCCTGGACAGGTCTCCAGTCCATCACAGGGCCACAGAGACAAACAACCATTCACTCTCTCACCTAGACACACTTTAGAGTTACCCGTCAGTTTAACATGCATGTTTTTGGTCTGTGGGAGGAAACTGGAGTACCTGGAAAAAACCCATGCAGCACGGAGAGAACATGCAAACTCCACACAGAAAGGCCCCCGGACTGGGATTTGAACAAGGGCAACCTGCTCGCTGAGAGGCAGCAGCTCTACCAACTGAGCCACTGTGCTGTCCTGTTTATGTACCTGTGTGTTTATTTCTACAGGTTAGTCTCGTTGAGCCACGAGGACTCATTTACAAGAGGGACCTGTTTTAGACAAAAAAACACAGATGGAGGTAGACAATCAAATAAACATCTTGATGACATCAAGGTATGGACGGCTTCAAATTTTTAAAGTTTCAACGATCAGAAAACTGAAGTCGTGTTTAGCCCTAGCTCTGCCGACATCTCTGATCCTGTTAAACCTCGACTCTCTTGAGCCATATCTTAAGCAGTCTGTTCTGCAGAAAGTTTCTTCTAGTTAAGGCAGCAGCATTTAAACAACCTTTATCAGGTAATTCAGATTGGCCCAGAACTGTAGGAGTTTTTAAAGCTCTGGATCTACATTTCTGTTATTGATGTGCCGGCTTTAAAGTTCTTGAACCCCGATACGACATCATGTCAACACTTTAGCCAAAAAGTTGTAGCAGCACTTTATGAAAAAGCTGAAACTGATATTGTCAACAAGCCCTGGACCAGATTAAAGTCCTGCCCTGATGATGATGATGAACAAGAGATCCAACCACCTTGTAACAGAAATGATGACCGTTCAAGAAGTGGTATTGTTATTTTATTATTATCTAATTAACTTTTTTAATTTAAAACTTATTAACTTTTTTTTTTTTTTACCTCTTTGTGTTGTTTGCAGTCTGAGGATGACATTGAGTTCCTCTTCAGGAAAATCCACCAGAGATCACCTCCAGCTAAGAGTCTGTGATGACTGAACTCTTTTGTGAACTTTTCCCAGGGACAGGTGGGAAGTAGCAAGTCCCCTCTGGAGCAGGTCCAGGAAAAGGTTGTGAGTACAAAGCTTCAGGGTGCCCTTCCCTCGAAGCTGACTCTTGTTTGGTGGAAAGACAGTGAGGCCAAATAAAGCCACACTGCAAAATTAGCGAAGTGCTACCTCTCTATTCCTGCCACCTGCTGTTAGTGAGCAGTTTTCTCCACCGCTGGAGATGATGTCACTGCAACTAGATCTATGATTTTGACAGAAAATGTGGACAAGTTGGTCTTTTTGGCCAAAAACTTAAAACTTGATTAGTTAAGATTGTAAATGGTCTGTTGCTGCTTATTGTTCTGGTTCTGACTGTTATTGTATTTATTAAGATTTTTATTAATGTTAGTATAGTTTGTTTATTGTAAAGAGTGCCTTTTATTTAAAATATCATCCAAATGGGTCGTTTTATTTATTTTTATACCAACGTATTGTTTACTTGACATATTTTAAAAATAAACGTTTTGTAAGTCTTTATTTTGGCCTTTTTTGTATTGAAAATGAACCGAACCGAGCCCTCCTTGAAACTGAACCGAACTGAAATGTGATTTTAGCGTACCGTTACACCCCTAGTGTTTATATTTATATGTACCCGTTTATGTATCCTTTTTTTTTTTTTCATTCAACCTTTATTTCTACAGGTTAATCCCATTGAGCCTCGGGGACTCATTTACAAGAGAGACCTGGTTTTAACAAAGAGTGATGACAACAGTGGACAACAACGACAACAATAGACAATCATAAAGGATACGTACAAATTGAGAATAACTGAAAAAAAAGGTGTTTAAAATAAAGTGTAACAAAATAAACAGCTAGGTTGTAAGGTGTATTTATATGTACCCGTTTGTGTATCCGTCTAACACTAAACTCACCCTGCTTGGATGAGCAGGCGTTTCAGAACTTTGCCTCAGGTAAAAGTTTACCTGGTGAGTCACTTTAGTGAACATCAGAACTATAAACAGGAAGTGACGCCATGTTCTTGTTTTACCTGAAGCCGTCCTGAAACCCTTCCCCACCTGAGAACAATCTGAACTAAATGAAAACAAAGCCCACAGGTACATTTTTTTGAGCCGTCCCATCGGGTGCTCTGATTCGCAGACTCCGCCCCTCAGGTGTTTACTGAGAAAGGTGAACTTGGAAGAACCAGAGGAACCAGTTGGACCTGGAACCTGCTCACCGATTGACTCTCATATGTGAGCTCCCCCGCTGGCAGCAGTGACTCAGCAGCTACCTGGACAGGTGAGCTGCAGGAGACTGGTGATGTCACAGGTGGAAGCAGCTCAGTCACTTGATTCATAATGTACATGTCAGATTAGTTCCTGATGATTTCTACGAACCCTTCCTTTCCCAGGGTGGAATAATTTTACAAAATAAAAATAGTAATTTATAATACACAAAGTTTGTTTTCTCAGTCATCCAGGTATACAACAACAAAAAAGGTCACAAACTTTGTGTTTTTGAAACCATTAATGAAAAGGCCAGACTTCAGGGGTATCTGAGGCAGGCTTGAAACACAAGAGTCAGGGTGGCTTCTGGGTAATACCAGATGGCTAGGCCTCAGACTGACGAAGCCTCTTGGATGAGGGGCGAAACGTTTCTTTTTAACAAAAAAACGAAGTCCAGATGACATGATTCAACCTTTTTTGTTGTTATATACCTGGATGACTGAGAAAACAAACTTTGTGT